GGTGTAGAACTCTATCAAAAGCCTTACTGAAGTGCATATACACAATATCATATTTATTACCATGATCCACCTTCTCAAACACCTTAGTGAAAAAAGTTAGTAAATTCGTAAGACGGGAATGCCCCTTTGTATAACGGTGTTGATATTCATTAATCAATTTATGCCTATCAAGATGGCTACGAATTGCTTCGGCAATTATTGATTCCATAAATTTTCCCACTATGGAGGTAAGGCTTACTGGTCTATAGTTGGAAGCTAAGGACCTATCACCTGCCTTGTAAACAGGTATTACATTTGCCATTTTCCACTTATATGGCACTATGCCAGTTCGTAGTGATATGTTGAAAAGATTAACCAAAGGTATGCTAAGTTCCTCGCAGACAGTTCATCAGGGCCTGGGGATTAGTTAGGTTTTAGTTTCTTTATTTGTCTGAGGACAATGCCGCTAGTATTTCAACTGACGCCTAAGGGGTTAAAGCTTTGTCTAGGGACATTTAAAATTTAAAAAATACACCAGCCTAGGGCCAGAAAGGTAAATTCACCAAAAGTGCTACAGCTGGACAATACTTTTATCAGGAAGGATAGTTAAATTAACATTTATAAAAATATAGATATATTAACATTAACCGTAATTATACAACACAACACACAACCAACCCGCTACATAGTACAAAATAGCTCACTAGTACAGTGCTACTAGTTATTTGAAGTTATGGGATATGAAAACAGTGGGTCTCTATGACACCCCCCCCCCCATCCTTCTGCCGGCCAAATCTTAAACAGGCCCCACATAAATACCAGGGCCACAGTAGTACCATAAGATTACAATCATAATCATACAGCCTAAATAATTCTTAAACACCACAACTTGCATAACTCAGCATAACTGCACGACACATCGTTCTACACAGTTCCCTCACCACTGCCAGACTGGTCACACGCTCCCCACACAGCTCTCTCATCCCAGACAAATATCGAATACACGTCCGATTTAGGAACAAACCCAGTCCACTGACACTATTTATGGACATTTTTACTACACTTATTTGTCAGGAAACAGGAAAAGTGTTTCCTGAGGCGGGTCTTAGTCATATGATGACCCGCTCTGGAGCTTATGGCCATCTGACCGAGGCCTTCGGCAGGTTTACCATGTTTTATTTTACAACAGTGTAGTAACCTGCATAATAAGCAGCAATTAGCTTCTCCACAGTTGAACAGTCCTGTTTTGCAATCCTGCATAGATCCTGCCCATAGATTCTCAATTGGGTTGAGGTCACGAGTTTCCAGGCCAGTTTAAAATGCTTAGCCCACTCTCTTCAAAGAATGCCAGTATTTTTCTAGAATTGTGACATGGAAGAAGAGCCAGCTGGAAAATGTCTTCTCTATCAGGAAAGTCTCTATTCACAATGGGAGGCAAATACGTTGCCAGGATTGCCTTGTATTTGTCACTATTCATCCTTCCTTCAACAATAAATAGCCGTCCAGGGCCTTTAGGAGTAAAACTGCCCCAAAACATCATCTTAGGTTGGTGTTTTGGCGCTTGTTAAATGTGTCCATTCTGAAGAGGCAACCTTTTGCTCCATCTCACTACCACTGACCTGTACCCATGTACTTCAAAATGCGCCACATCTGAAATTATAATTTTTCTCCATTCATTTGTCGTCCATCCCTTATGATCAAGTGCCCACCGCAGCCGTTTTTCTTCAAAGCAGCAATCAATGATTATTTCTTTGCCGGCTTTCTGGCAGTTCTGCTAACTTGAAGGAGCGTTTGTCGAGCAGTTGAAAAATCAGCATTTACGCCAGCTGAACTCAAATCTCTCTGTAGATCTTTACTGGGTTTCTTGGGATCCTTCACAATATTTCTTATGATAACATTGTCATCGAGAGTTGCTTTGCATTTTCTTTCACATCTTACTCGACGCAACACTCCACAGTCACCAGTATTATAAACTCTTTTCAAAATCCAACCAACAGTCGAGTTTCCTAGGCTCAAATTTTAGGTGATTTGTCTGATACTCATCAGCATGTTTTCCAAGAGCTACAATACTTGCACGCTTCGTAGGCGTAAGATCCATCATGAATTTCAGTAGTAATCACAAACTGAAGGGGAGAATTGGGCAAAACCACATTCATTCACGGAGCAGGCTTGTGGGAATAGCCTTACAGAACAACAGCAGTTGTAGCACTGACGAAAGTTGCAAGGTAACACCACAGTTGGATGGGTGTCAGGAGTCAGTAGCAAACTCTTGTGAAAAGAAAATTAGAGCCCAAACTACATTAATTAAGCTGGAGAATAAGACAAGAGATAATCACAAAATTTACTCCTGTCCCAATTAATTTTTACACTACTCTTGATGCTACTTTAAGAATATCACTAGAGCTAGTTGCTACTTTGACTTCACTGGTGCCAGTTGCTAATTTGACATCACTAGTGCTAGTTGCTACGTTGACACTATCACTAGTTGCTACTTTGACACTATCACTAGTGCTAGTTGCTACTTTGGCACTGTCACTAGTGCTAGTTGCTACGTTGACACTATCACTAGTTGCTACTTTGACACTATCACTAGTGCTAGTTGCTACTTTGGCACTGTCACTAGTGCTAGTTGCTACGTTGACACTATCACTAGTGCTAGTTGCTACTTTGACACTATCACTAGTTGCTACATTGACGCTATCACTAGTGCTAGTAGTTACTTTGACACTATCACTAGTGCTAGTTGCTACGTTGACAGTATCACTAGTGCTAGTTGCTACATTGACACTATCACTAGTTACTACATTGACACTATCACTAGTTGCTACATTGACACTATCACTAGTTGCTACATTGACACTATCACTAGTAGCTACTTTGACACTATCACTAGTGCTAGTTGCTACTTTGACACTATCACTAGTGCTAGTTGCTACTTTGGCACTATCACTAGTGCTAGTTGCTACGTTGACACTATCACTAGTGCTAGTTGCTACTTTGACACTATCACTAGTGCTAGTTGCTACTTTGACACTATCACTAGTGCTAGTTGCTACGTTGACACTATCACTAGTGCTAGTTGCTACTTTGACACTATCACTAGTTGCTACATTGACACTATCACTAGTGCCTACTTTGACAGTATCACTAGTGCTAGTTGCTACTTTGACAGTATCACTAGTGCTAGTTGCTACGTTGACAGTATCACTAGTGCTAGTTGCTACGTTGACACTATCACTAGTGCTAGTTGCTACTTTGACAGTATCACTAGTGCTAGTTGCTACTTTGACACTATCACTAGTGCTAGTTGCTACATTGACACTGTCACTAGTGCTAGTTGCTACATTGTCACTATCACTAGTGCCGGTTGCTGCTTTGACACTATCAATAGTGCTAGTTGCTACATTGACACTGTCATCAGTGCTAGTTGCTACTTTGACACTATCACTAGTGCTAGTTGCTACATTGACACTATCACTAGTGCTAGTTGCTACATTGACACTGTCATCAGTGCTAGTTGCTACTTTGACACTATCACTAGTGCTAGTTGCTACATTGACACTGTCATCAGTGCTAGTTGCTACGTTGACACTTTCATCAGTGCTAGTTGTTACATTGACACTGTCATCAGTGCTAGTTGCTACTTTGACACTCTCATCAGTGCTAGTTGCTACTTTGACACTCTCATCAGTGCTAGTTGCTACGTTGACACTGTCATCAGTGCTAGTTGCTACGTTGACACTGTCATCAGTGCTAGTTGCTACTTTGACACTCTCATCAGTGCTAGTTTCTACGTTGACACTCTCATCAGTGCTAGTTGCTACGTTGACACTGTCATCAGTGCTAGTTGCTACATTGTCACTATCACTAGTGCCGGTTGCTGCTTTGACACTATCAATAGTGCTAGTTGCTACATTGACACTGTCATCAGTGCTAGTTGCTACTTTGACACTATCACTAGTGCTAGTTGCTACATTGACACTATCACTAGTGCTAGTTGCTATATTGACACTGTCATCAGTGCTAGTTGCTACTTTGACACTATCACTAGTGCTAGTTGCTACATTGACACTGTCATCAGTGCTAGTTGCTACTTTGACACTATCACTAGTGCTAGTTGCTACATTGACACTGTCATCAGTGCTAGTTGCTACGTTGACACTTTCATCAGTGCTAGTTGTTACATTGACACTGTCATCAGTGCTAGTTGATACTTTGACACTCTCATCAGTGCTAGTTGCTACTTTGACACTCTCATCAGTGCTAGTTTCTACGTTGACACTCATCAGTGCTAGTTGCTACGTTGACACTGTCATCAGTGCTAGTTGCTACGTTGACACTGTCATCAGTGCTAGTTGCTACGTTGACACTGTCATCAGTGCTAGTTGCTACGTTGACACTGTCATCAGTGCTAGTTGCTACGTTGACACTCTCATCAGTGCTAGTTTCTACGTTGACACTCATCAGTGCTAGTTGTTACATTGACACTGTCATCAGTGCTAGTTGCTACGTTGACACTCTCATCAGTGCTAGTTGCTACGTTGACACTGTCATCAGTGCTAGTTGCCATTGTCTCAAAGGTTACTTTACATCACAGATGAAAATTTGAAGCCGATCCGATGTAACTTTGTGTTACCAGCGAAATAACGAAAAGCTGAAGGAAGGTGAAAAAAATTAAATGTCAGGAAAACACTTCAGTTTGTGACCTTTAATGACGTACCTCGTCAGTTGTCGACCTTTGATGACGAGCCTCTTCGGGTTTTGATCTTTACTGACGGTCCTCCTCAGGTTGGGTCCTTTAATGACGATCCTTTTCAGGTTGGGACCTTTAATGACGGTCCTCCTCAGGTTGGGACCTTTAATGACGGTCCTCCTCAGGTTGGGACCTTTAATGACGATCCTCTTCAGTTTGGGACCTTTAATGACGGTCCTCCTCAGGTTGGGACCTTTAATGACGATCCTTCTCAGGTCGCGACGTTTAATGATGAGCCTCTTCATTAACAGTGCCTGTCTGTCTCCAGGGCCAGGCTACCCCACTCCCTTATTAGCCATGAAGGAGGGTGCCAGGGAGGCACTAGTGTGGGTGCCCTGCATCAGAACCAACACTGGCAAGCCAGACTACCTGGCCACTGTGGACGTTGACCCTCGCTCACCTGACTACTGCAAGGTGAGTTATACAATGAAGATTTCAGCCAGTCACTACCTTAGCAGTCTGTGTAACTCTCACTGGGACCACTATAATAAACCTTAGTAGACTTTGCAATGTCACTCAGTATTCACGTATTTTTTTGTGTAACGCAATTTTGCTGTTAAATAAGAGAAAGCATGACAAGATGTGTGAGAGTGCATGATAATGAGAGAGGCATGATAGAATGAGAGAGCATGTAAGGATGATACAGAGAGCATGCGCACACACACACACACACACACACACACACACACACACACACACACAGTAATCAGTGGTAGTGGAACGTCAGTGAACAATACTACAAGTGATAATTAAAGTTATTAGTTAAAGAAAGTGAGAGGAAAGCTGAAATCATAATATTTCAAAGCGCAAACCGTTGGGGGTCTTAGGCGCTGTTGCCACATTGGTAGCGGTAGGCCTGAAGAAGTGACGTCACGACAAGTTGTGTGCCATTATACATATAAAGTGAAGTGTATATAATGTGAAGGGGATACTACATCGGGTGAAGGTGAAATGCGTGGGAAACCCGGGGGATGTTGGATATATGGTTATAATCATAAAGGGTAAAGGGGATCTCCAAAAAAAAGGTTTTTTAAAGGGCCCTTTCGTACGACGCTTCGTCATCGGGCGTGGAATTGGGCCACCGCCCCTTTAAGCCCCAAGTTTATTCGCCTTTTTGGGGTTTTGGATGTTGAGGCCCTGGTTGGCCTTGCTTAAGTTTGTTACTGGTCACTCACTCCTGAAGTTTTTAAACCATTTTTAAAAATAGAAAATAGCATAAAACATAGAGAATATAGTTTTGGGAGGGATTTTGAGAAGGTGGGTTTGGGGACAAGTTTTTTAAGGGAAAATTGGGTAAGCGGTCTGGGGTCAGGCCCCAGGAGGGTTTTTGCCAGGTCACAAAAAAAGTTGGGCCAGTATTACCGAAAAGATTCTCCCCTTTTCACAAAACCCCACACACACCACACCACCACACAAACACAAACACACAAAACCAACACAAAAACACACACACACAAAACACTCAACACACAACATGCACAACACGCAACAGGCGTTTTTACTACGGTAGTTATTAGCAGTAAAAATTTATTGGGAAAAGTGGGGAAGTCCTCCCCCCTCAGTGTAAAACAAAAAAAAATGAAAACCCAGCAACAATTAAAACGAAACCCAGAAAGGGCAATAATTTTGGGAAAAGAGAGTAGAAAAAATTGGGGAAAAGAAAATGAGAAAAAATTTTTTCGGGCCTACAGACGGATCTTTAAAACCACACAATTCCCCCCCCCAAACCCCTCCCCCCCTAAAACACAAGCACACACACACAAGGGTAGCCCACTAACATTTCCACCAAAATAACAACAAAACAAAAACAAACACCCCACCCCCAACACACACCCCCCACCACACCCCCCACACACACACACAAAACACACACACACACACACACCACACACCACCCACACCCCAACACCACACCCAACACCACACACACCCCCACACAAACACACCCCACACCAAAACCAACAAAAACACAAAACCACACAAAACACAAAAACACACACACCACCCCAAACACAAAACCCCACACACACACACAAAACCCCACACACCACACACCAAAACCCCACACCACACACACACAAACACCAACCACCACACACACCACACACCAAAATACACACCCCCCCACAACACAACCAACCCCACACCCCACACCACCACACACAACACAACCCAACCCAACAAACACACACACCACCATACCCCACCAAAACCACACCAAAACCACCCCAAAACCCACACAACACACACCCACCCCCAAAAAACCTCCACCACTTGACAAAAACCGAAACCCCCTCCCCTAACCCCCCTCCCCCTTTCCCAAACCCAACCCTCACCTTAGCCCCCCTACCCCCCCCCAAACCCCCTAACCCCCCCCAAAAAAAACCCTTTAAACCCCCCCAAAACTACCTCCCTCCCTCAAAAAACCATCCCCCCCCTCCCTATAACCATCCCCCCCTCCCCTCCCCAAAAAAATCTAACCCCCCCCCCCAAAAACTATCTCTACCCCCCCAAAAAATAACCATCCCCCCCCTTCCCCCCAAAAACCATCCACCCCCTCCCCAAAACCATCTATTCCCTCCCCCTAAAAAGGTGGGAAAAAGGGGGCCCTCCAAGGACAAATTTCTGGGGGGGAGGAATGGGGGGGTAGAGCCCCAAAAAAAGGGAGGAGGCCCTGGGGAAGGAGATAGATGAGCGGAAAGGAAAAAATGGAAGAGAGGTTAGCGGCAGAAGGGAAAAGGGTGGAAGAAAACAGGCCACAGCAGCAGAAAATAAAGATAGTTTAAAAGAGGGCTGGGGACATTGAAACAGCCAGGGGCAAAGATTTTTCGGGAATTTTGCATCGGCAATGGCTACACAAACACAGACAACGGTTTGGAAGGAAAATGGAAAAAAAAAATGTTTTGAGGGGTTTCCTGTAAAACCCCACAGGGGGCCCCAAAAACCAAAAAAAGGGGACGAAATAGGGCCCAAAATTTGAGGGGTTTTGGGAAAGCCCATTAAAGGGAAACAGGACATGTGAAAGGGAACTTCCCAGATACCTGTGGGGGAAAAGGGCAGGTGAAGGGGGAAAGGAAAAACCCAAAAAAGCATAGAGGCAAAAACGAGGGAAGGGAATAAAGGGAAAGGGAAACACCCCCGGGGAAAGGGAAAACAAAAACACATCAGAGGTTTAAAATGGGAGTCACAGTGGGAGGGGGGGAAAAGGGAAAAAATCCGTGTTTATCTAGGGGCTAGATAAGCTAAAGGGGAAACTTATGATAAAAGGGGAAACCCAGGGGGGTAAAAAAAAGCGATTGAAGTTATCTTGAAGGTGATAGGCGAGGGGGACATGACCCCGGTGGAAATTTTCGGAAAAATTTGGGGGGTTCCAAAAAAGGAAAACGGCTTCTCAAAGGAATTTTTAAGGCAAAAAATCAACCCGAACCATGAAACCTGCAGGGAGAAAGACGGCTGAGAGGCAAGCCAAAGGGGTTTGGAAATGTTTTTCCTCGATCGAGACAGAAAAACGGGAAAGAAAAAGGGAAAACAAGAAAGAGAGGTTCAAAAAAAGAAAAGAGAAATGGGGGGGAAATGAAAAAAGGGGGAGCAAAATAATCCAGGATCAAATTGGGGGAAGGGGAAGCGCACCCCCAAAAAAACACCTGCAGAAGGACTCCCCGGGCCCCGACCCCCCCAAAGGAACTGGGAAAAATCCAAAAAAAAACCCCAACCCCACACCGATCCTCTGTTTTTCCCCCCCCCGACCCCCAAAATTAAGATTAGAACAGAAGTTGAAGGGTTTTATACCAAATTTCAGATGGAAATTTAAAGAATAAAAAATGAGGAATGGCCCAAAAAAGAATCAATGAGAATTTCCCCCCCTTTTATGAAATTACAGAAACAAAACTCATGGGGACAAAAAAAGCAATATTCCCAACCCCGGGGTTTCCCGATCATGAGGAAAGGGTAGAAGGGGCAGGGGGGGAGGGGGGGGTTGGGTTTTTTCGTAAAAAACAAAATGGAAAATTTGGAAAAAAAATGGAAAAGGAAAAGGGTGAGACGGGAGGAAAAAGACTACATAAAGGGACCCCCTTCAGTTGGGGAACCCCAAAAATTTGGGCATTGCAAAATGATGTGTAATCCCCCAAAAGAACTGCAGGAGGCCAAGAGGAATATGGGAAAAGGAAACAACCCGAGGGAATGGTGGAAAACACTTTCTGAGGTGGCAAGAAAGCCCCACTCCAGCCCCGAGCAAAGTTGTGGTTTTTGGGGGGGTTTCAACCCCAGGGGATTTGGGTGGGAAAACCTGGGAAAATGGGGGGGGGCCGAAAATGGAGAGCCCGGTTTTTGGACTGGTGCTGGAAAACCCCATGCCAAACCCAAAATGTTAAGGACCTACCAGAGTTTTGGGGGGGGAGGATGAACCAGCCCAAGTTTTGGGCCTTGTGTTTAACCCCTGGGGAGCTCAGAAAATTGAGGAATCAAATTTGAGAGTCCCTTTGGAGCTAGCGACCACGTGGTTCTTTTGCTTTGAAAAACATAGTTTGAGCTCAAGTGGGAGAATAAAAGGAGTTGGGAAAGGGAAAAAACCCCCGACTATAAAAGAGGGGGGACTACATTTTTGGTTTTAAGAAAATTCCTGCGGGAGGGCCAGTTGGGGCAGAGAACTGGCAGGGAAAAACCCGTAAAAAGAAATGATGGAATATGTAACAACAAATGCAAGGAGGGAGTGGAAAGGTTTTTTTCCCAAGGGCAAAAGTAAAAAACGGGAAGGGCCCGAACGAGCCCCCGGTTTACCCCCGGGTAAGGAGGGAAAAAAAAAAATGAATAGGGGAAAGGAAAAAAAAGTACCGGAAAGGGAGAAAACACCCCGGGAAAAAAGGGGGGATCAGTTCGCCCGAGCCAGGGAAAAGTACCACAGGTTAAAGGGGGGAGGCCCCCCCGGGGAATAAAGAAAAAGACATAGCATCGAGAATCAAAAATGACCCGAAAAATGTTGTATAGCCACTTCGGAGGAAGACAACAGTCCCAAAAAACAGGTGATCAGATTAAGGGGGAAAAAAGGTGGAGAACTCAAAAAGAAAAGTTTAGGAGGTATTGAGGAGCTGAACAGGGGGATTTTAAGGGAAATTTTTTCAAATAGAGGACAGGGGAAAGGGGTGGGGGGGAAGACAGGGACAGAAGGGAAAATCAAAAGGGAAAAATACCAAAAAGTGTTGGATGGCATACGAAAAAAACTGGGGAGGAGGTGAAGAAGTCTTAAAAGGGGCCTTGGGCACCTCAAAGCGGGGGGAAACCCGGGCATCTCCCCTGGGTCCTTAGAGAAAGGGGCAGAGTTTCTGTGTGTGCCCCTTAAACCCCAATCTTCAACAAAATCCCTTTAAACTGGGCAAAAATAACTGAGAAAAGGAAGACAGCTAAAGTAGTCCCCA